CCAAAGCACGTGTGATCAGACTCCACCCAGTGGGGGAAAAGGCACAGTACTCTGGAGTAAGAATAAAACCTACCACATTTCCTGCTATGTGCTTGCTGCTTGAAAGAAGCAACATATTTCACAAAAGTAAACCCTGACTTGCCATTTAAAATAATAATAAGAAAAAAACAAAACAAAACAAAAAACAAACAAACAAAAAAAGCCAGGCGTTGGTGGCGCATGCCTTTAATCCCAGCATTCGGGAGGCAGAGGCAGGCGGATCTCTGTGAGTTCGAGGCCAGCCTGGTCTCCAGAGCAAATGCCAGGAGAGGCTCCAAAGCTACACAGAGAAACCAATAATAATAATAATAATAATAATAATAATAATAATAATATAGCCGGTGGTGGTGGTGCACACCTTTAATCCCAGCACTTGGGAGGCAGAGGCAGGTGGATCTCTGTGAGTTCGAGACCAGCCTGGTCTACAAGAGCTAGTTCCAGGACAGCCTCCAAAGCCACAGAGAAGCCCTGTCTCGAAAAACCAAAATAATATAATGGGGAAAGGCGCTTCATGTGTGAGTGTGTGGGGTGGGGCAATGATAAAAAACTGCAAGAATAGAATAGCAATGTGATCGGGAGACAATTATTGCAGAAGGGCCAAGGCTAACATAACAAATTGTGAGAAGAGACTCATAAATGGAGGCAGAGCTGTACACAAACAACATGTTTTGAACTGCATATTGCAGGTCATGATCTCTAATAGCTTTCTGTTTTGTGAAATGTGAGAATTTTGTTCTTCTTTTTAAAGATGAATTTATTTATTATGTATACAGTGTTCTGGCAGAATGCCAGCAGAGGGCGCCAGATCTCATTATAGATGGTGGTGAGCCACCATGTGGTTGCTGGGAATTGAACTCTGGACCTCTAGAAGAGCAGCCGGTCCTCTTAACCTCTGAGCCATCTTCCAGCCTGAAATATGAGAATTTTGAAGAGTACAGGTCAGTTACACCTTATAAACTCTCCAGTTTGGGTTTGTCTGATATTTTCTTCTGATTAGGATTGTCTATGCATTTTTTGGGTAGGAAAACCAGAAAAGATACCCCAACTTCTTCATGGCTCATAAGAGAAAATGCACAAAATTGATTTGTACTCTACCGGTGATTTTCACTTTGACAACATGTTTCTCCACTGTAGATTACTATCTTACCTTTTAAATATTCTGTAGAGAGTTATATAATGAACTATATAAAGATATGGTGAACTGCAGAAAACCCTTTGATTTGCAAATGAAAGAGGACATGCACTCTGAAAGTTCTAGCTAAAAGAATGTTTATTGATATCTTTATAGCAAATAGCAATTAGAAATAGCCCGTATTTCTATTATTAGTGGATTTGGTTTAGTAAATTATTCATATAATACAATACATGTAGTCACTAAACTATCAGACAAATGTATTAGTAACAGTAAATAAGTTTACAATATAGTATAGAAAACAAGTAGCTATATTGTATTATATGGTGCAGTTAAGATATATTTTAAAGCCGGGCGTTGGTGGCACACGCCTTTGATCCCAGCACTTGGGAGGCAGAGGCAGGTGGATCTCTGTGAGTTCGAGACCAGCCTGGTCTACAAGAGCTAGTTTCAGGACAGCTTCCAAAGCCACAGAGAAACCCTGTCTCGAAAAACCAATATATATGGTTTATTTATTATTGTGGTATATGTGTGCATTTGTGCCATGGGATGCACATTGGGAATCAGAGGACAGTTTTGTGTGCTGTGGAGTAACCCTTCTGTATGATGTGAAAATGTGTTGCTCTCATTGTTAATAAAATGCTGATTTTAGGGGCAGAGAGAATGCTGAGACCAAGGGAGGGGTCGGGTGAGCCATGAAGAGGAAACAGGAGGTGCAAGATGAAAGAGAGGTAATGCTACATAGCAGAATGCAGATTAATATAAAGGGTTAATTCAAGTTCTAAGAGTTAGTTATTAATAAGTCTAAGCTATTGGCTGAGAGTTTATAATTAACATTGAGTCTCTATGTAGGTGTTTGGTGGGCAGGAAAGAAAAGTCTGCCTACATTTGTGCAGTTATTTTTCTTCCACTCTTACATCTGTTCTGGGAATTAAACTCACTCCTTATGTTTGAGGGGTTAGCACTTTACCACTGATCCATTTGGCCAGTCCTCTCAATATAACTACACATACCAGGACTTAACAAATCTTTCCCAAGTTGGGACCCTTTCTGCCTGAGAAACATTTTCACAACCCTAAGTACAGAGGTACATACAATGGCATGCAAATCAGACATTCTCTGATAGCAAATCACAAGGAAATTTTTTTACATTCTTTGGAGCCAGTGAGATGGCTCAGCTGGTAAAGGCACTTGATGTCAAGTCATCCAGTGTGTGTTCCCTCCCTGGGACTCACATGGTAGAGAGAGAGACTCTGCAACTTGTCCTCTGACCTGCAAATGCCTGCTACAGTGTGCATGGGCCAACACACACACACACACACACACACACACACACACACACACACACACACACACTAACACACACACGCTAAATGTAATAAAGAAAACAATTCTTTGGTATGGAATAACATTTAAAAAATACCTAAAATATATTTTATATTTATATGTATGTGTCTTGTGAGTATATACCATGTGTACAGATGACCATGGTGTTGTAGAATATTAAGATGTGTTATAGTTGTTTATGCTGTGGAATATTTGTTTAATGACGCAAAGATGTGTTGTATTCCTTTATGTTGCATTTGTTTAGCTCTGTGAAGCTGTGTTACTTTGCCTGTCTAAAACACTTGATTGGTCTAATAAAGAGCTGAATGGCCAATAACAAGGCAGGAAAAAGGACAGGCAGGGCTGGCAGGCAGAGAGACTAAATAGAAGGAGCAACAGAAAGAAGAGGATCAAGGAACAAGAAAAGGAGGAAAGGAGGACTTGAGGGGCCAGCCACCCAGTTACAGCAAGACACAGAATAAGCAGTAAAAGTAAACAGACATAGAGAAAGGTAAAAGCCCAGAGGCAAAAGGTATACGGGGATAATTTAAGTAAAGAAAAGCTGGCTTGAAATAAGATAAGCTAACAATGGACATTTATAAGCAATAGTCTCCGTGTGTGTGTGTGTGTGTGTGTGTGTGTGTGTGTGTGTGTGATTTATTTGGGAGCTGGGTGGCAGCACCCCCTCACCACCAAAAGAGCAAAGAGACAAAACAGTAAAAAAAACAACCAACACCACCATAGCAGTTAGAAGAGGAACTGGGATTCCCAGGGACTAGAGTTACAGGTGGTTGTGAGCTACCTGACCTGGGTGCTAAAAACTGAATTCAGGTCCTCTGCAGCAAGATCAGTAATCTCTCTCTCTTTTCATGGACATATGTTTTTATTTTTCTTGAATCAATACCTAAAAGTGGGTGATCTAGTCGATGAAGATTTTTTCCACTTTTAAAAAATTTCTGATTTTGTTTTACATTCCAACCACAGTTCTCCCTCCTACCCAGAAAGCTCTCTTAGCTGCAGAGCCATCTCTCTAGAATAATTATAACATAATGCTTTTTATTGAAAACCAAAGCAAATCTGCATTACTAATGAGACATACATGCTTATTCTTTCTATATAAAGAAATCTTGAGCAGGGTGTTGCGGCCCCAAAACTTGAAAGGCTGAGACCAGCCTGGTCTACAGAGCAAGTTCCAGGACAGGCAGGACAAGGACTACACAGAGAAACCTTGTCTAGAAAAACCAAACAAGCAAAAACAAAAAAAGGAAGGAAGAAAGAAAGAAAGAGATCTTGGTTGAATATTTGACACTATAGGTCATAGAGTATATTTCATGTTTTTCATAGTTGATTAATATCTTGATTTAAAATTGTCAATGCTGAGAATGCTGCTTTGTATAATAAATACATAGTACAAAATGGCAGAAGTATATTCTGTTCCATTTTAGAAATTATTGGAAATCCTTTCTAGTCCAAGCCAAAATCTACTGAATAATTTTAAAAAATGAAATTCAAGTCAACAACTCCAACAGCAATATATAGAAACAAACATTCAATTCACTATGCTGGGTTCTAACCACTATAAGTTCACTGCTACTCAAAGGCAATTCAACCTAAAGATACACTGATTTGATCCATGATGAAGAATGATGGTGGGAAAATACAAGTCTTTTGTTTTCTGTAATGAGACCATTATGCTTAAGAGCAAAACACCAAGTATGGTGAAACAAACAAACAAACAAAAACCAAAACACTGTAATTCACAACACACTGAAGTCTCCAGAGGAAGCATTTGTTGGCTGCCTGTGTGTCAGCACCCACCAGCAATGCAGACTGTGTACACACTGGGTTCCGGAAATACCTGAGATGCATTTTGCGTTTAATTTTGAATTAACTTTTGGTTGATAGGCTTTCAAAAACCTGACTATTGCCAAATATTTTGCGACCCCCACATTAGAAGTCGCGAGCCATAGCTTAGGAAGCTGGGGTTTGTAGTCATGTGTCATATACAAACAAACACGTATGCAGTCACTGGTATATTTTGCTTAAATGTATACATTTTTATTAGAAGCTATACAGTGGTTATACAGCAAGAGTTATTAAGAACATGAACTTTTCTGGTCTGTTAACGTAGAAAAGATAAATAACAAAATCCACAGCATTTAGTTGATAATCAAATAAATATCAACTTGCTTCTTTTCTTCTAGTGACAAACACAAGTTAGTACGTTCTTGAACATTCTGATTATGTGTAATTGAAAGATGAAGGCGACAGGTTTGTATCTGATAAGCTCTAAAACTTAACATATATATATAGATATAGATATAGATATATATATATATATGCCCATCGTTGGTATTGGACAATCTGACAGTTACTAGCACTATTTATTTCAATGGCGGGGTGTGAAAGAAAGGCTGAGGAAGGGCTGATTTCAGTCCTTTGTGGGCTCCATTGATATTTTTTGAGAATGAGCTGCTTTTTTTTTTTTTTTTTTTTTTTTGAGGATCCGGTTTGAGGCCGGCACTGCCAGAGAGCTCAACTCAGAAAAGGGAACTACCACTTCCCAAGAGGAAGCGCCAGGTGAACCGAGCCGAAGAGCCACGCCCTTCCCAACCGCCCGCGAGTGTGGGAATTTCACGGTGGGCGTCCCGAAGTCACGCAGGAGGCAAGAAGGCGACCAGACACCGGAAGTGTGGTGCTAGGGCTCCGCGGACCCCACGTGGTG